GAAGAGTATGTATGGACATTCGACAACAGGGATTAGATACATGCTTGGTTGTTTAAATTGTTCTTCTATGCTTAATGGGTTCCTAATGCTTAATTTTAGGTTAGACAACAAATGATCAAATTAGGGAATTAGGAACACAAGGTTATGACCACACACCATGGCTTAATCATACTTTAGCTAGAATCAATCCATTAATCTAATTGAACTTGGGAACTTATTTGCTTGAGTTATTTCCTTTTTTTCTTGTTGTATTTATTTCCTTTCTTTTTCATTTCTGTTTGTGTAGGGAAAATGAATGGGATCATTCAATCACCAATCCTCAAGTTTTAATTACCTTTTCTAGTTAGGAACTGACTTGGAAATCAAGTCTTCGTGTAAGGCCACTTGTTTAGGCCCATTCTAACTAGGTTTTAGGTTCCTTTTAGAGCAGAGGTTGAGGGGCTCGAAGGATATATACCAGAAATTTCGGAATTCAACCGTGTATAAAGGAAAAGCGACTGTGCCTCTAAACTCTAAGGGTTTTTCTTATCTCTTTCTCCATGTTTTATTTTTGCTTTGTTACCATGATTATGAGTAACTAATTCTCTTTTACTAAGACACAATGTAACCCTTTTCTAATTATTTAGAGCTTAGTTATGTCATGCTATTAGAATTTTCATGTTGTTGAAATTTAATCACTGTGCTTATTTTCTTAACTAGTGATCTTGATGCTTAGCTACCATCTAGGTTTTGGTTAAGTAATTTGATGCATGTTAGGGTATACGCCATGCCTAATATGAGTTTTGCTTCTTGTGATTAAATTCATGAATGCGCCTAAGGTAAACACCATACTCTTAGGGGTTTGTGTGATTGTGTGAAGTTCTCAATGGAACTTAAAGTCTTTTTATATGTTTATATTTATGCCTCAAGGCAAGGATAAATTGCGTGTAAAAAAAAGTGGTTAATTGCTGTGAAAAGAGTTAATCATAATTTTGGAGAACTAATCATCAACATAACTTGGGAATTTTGATAGTATGCATGCTAAGGTTTGGATAAGAGGAATTGTGGTGAAATTGTTGTCTTGGTAAACTTCTTTAAAATCTTTCACAAACTTATTTAGTTCATGTTTTTCTTTGTTATTTTTTCTTGTTATTTTCTTGTTTCCAACGTTCTTTTAAAGAAAATCTCTCAAAACCAACTTTCAAAACTCCTTTATTAAGTTGTATTTGAGTCATTAGTTTTAAGTTTATTAGTTAGGGTGTCTAGAGTAATTTAGGATTTAGATTAGTTTATAATTCACAACAACTTGAGAATTTATGCAGTCTCTGTGGGAACGACCTTGTAGTTGCCTTGGCCATATTGCATTAACCTTGTGCGCTTGCAAGTTTATTTCTTGAATTTAGGTATCTAATTTTCAAGTAGTAAAATTATACATCAACATCTCATGATCATCAACGAGATACATCTCATCTTGAATGAAGTGCATAGGGTTTTTATTTGCAGTCAACTTGCAATAAATAAATTGATGGCTCTTTTATTTGACAAAATTAAGCAACAATAAGTTGTTTTGCATGGTTTTTATTTGGAGCTTAACATGATTTTGCTTTGCAGAGGGAGGTTTAATGAACATAAAGTTCAAATAAAAGAGAGACAGAGAGCTTTGAGTAGAGTGGTAGTTTGTTCCTAAAATGCCTATGTGATATTATTTTTAAAGGGACACACAACTGTTTTGTACCAAAATTACAATTACACCATCAAAATCAATTTCTCACAATATCAATGAGATACATGTCATGACCATCAATGATTTCATTTTGCCCAAATTGGGTTCTTGAAGAAAAACTTTTGCTTGGAGTGTAGAGGGATTTTTTCTTATAGTCGACTTGTAATAAATAAATTGGTATCTCTTTCGTTTGCCAAATTTAAGCAGTAATGAGTTGCTTTGCAGTGGGTTTTACTTGGAGTTTGATATGGTTTTGCTTTGGAGAGAGAGGTTTAATGACCACAAAGTTCAAATAAGAGAGAGAGAGAGAGAGAGAGAGAGAGAGAGAGAGCGCTTTGAGTAGAGTGGTAGTTCCTAGAATGTCTATGTGATATCATTTTCAAAGGATGCACCAAAATTACAATTACTCTAAATCAAAACCAAATCATATTTAAATAAAAATCAAATCAAAACTTATGGTTATGATATGTATATTAGGGAACTACCCCTTACTATTGTCTTTAGAGTATATTATAAAGTGATGACTACTTATGTTAAATACAAAAGCTAAACACATTGATTGGTTAGGACAAACTCCTCTCCTAGAAACAAATACGAATAGAACAAATGTAAGAATCCCAAAGAACCATCCATTAGAAAGAGATTAAACTCCCTCATGAATGGAATTTCCAGGAAGCAATTCCATCAAGAGAAATGACAAATCGACAAATAAAGTTTTTACATCAAAGATCATATGGAACTTGAAATTGTAGTTTGGACTTGTAACTCAAGTAATTAGAGCAGCTCCAGCATTGCTTCAAAACTGGGCAAAAGGCTCCCCGACCAAGCCCAAGGGAGCTCCAGCGTTCAGCCCCAAGCCCGGGCAAGCCCTGGGTCCCACCAGCCGGGGCAAGCCCAAGGGCAGGTTTCGCCTGGGCTTCAGCCCGAGGGCGGTGACGTCATCGCACGGTCGCGCCAACGGTAAAAAAAATTGACTTCCGCGCACTGACGTCAGCCCTGACAGACTCCAACGGGCATGTGACACATGTCGCAACTGGGACTCTCCGATCCGTTTTTTTCCAGAAATCCGACGGTCCTCGTTTTTTTGGCTAAAAAAATTGCACTCACATTTTTCACTTTCCACACCAATTCTCCATACAAACTCTTCTCCTTCCAATATTTTTTACTCTCCACTCACATTTTTCTACTACTTTCCATTTGTATAAAAATAAAAAAACAAATGGCATCTTCTGTCAAAGTCGGAGGCTCGCGGGCAACCCAGGAAGATATTGCGTTGTGTCAGTCTTGGGTGAACGTTAGTCATGACCCTATCACTGGCAATGAGATGAAGTTCCATCATATGTGGAGCAAAATTCATGGAGAATTTTGTCAAATATTAGGTTCCATTCGGACCGAAATGGCCTTGTCTAGTAGATGGAAAATTCTGAATAAAGAGTTAGGGAAATGGAGAAATGCCTTGACAAAAGCAAGGGAGAACATTCGAAGCGGTCAAAATCTATCCGATGAGGTAAAATATTTATAATTGCCATTTTAATCAATTTAATGTAACTTTTTTTTTATTGCATATTCTATTTCTTTTTCTTGCATAATCTTTTTTTTTCTTTTTTCATTTCCAATTTGTCTATATTTTCTTGCATAATCAATTTTATTCTTGCATTTCAAAATAGTTTATATGTTCTTGCATAATAATTTTTTTTTCTTGCACTTCCAATTATTTATTTTTAATAGATCATACAAGCACAAATGTGGTTTGGTGCCATGGGGCAAGGCAATAAAAGTTTCGTGCATTTCCAATGTTGGGAAGTTGTGAAGGATTGTTCGAGATTCAAAATTATTCCCATCTGTCCGCTGGTTGTGTTGAATGAGACGCCGCTCCACGATTCGCTATCAACCGATTTGCCATTGGACTCCCCAATGGAAACGGAGTCACCACTCCCATGTCCGCCGAGACCTATTGGGAGAAAGGCGGCAAAGGCCAAGAGAGGTGGCACTTCGAACAATGAATGTGTACAATTATTTGAGCAAATAGCTAAGAACACCTCACTAAGAATTGAGAGAGACTTGAAAAGAGATGAATTGGACATGGCACGAGAGGAAGCATTTGCAATTCAACAGCAGCAGGCACAAGAAAAAGACATGGAGGATAGAGAGATGAAAATCATGGCCATGGATAAGAGCCATATGTCTCCTGAAACAAAGGCTTATTGGAAGCTAAGACGAAGGGATGTGATGAGAAGAAAACTTTTCCAAGACGACGGACCTAGCAATACGGATTGATTAAATGATAAAAACCATTAGGTTGTATAGAAACACCTTTGCCATATGTTGTATTGTTGTATTGTTGTATTATCCTTTAATTTGTTGTATTGTTTCCTTTTTATTCAATAAACAAAGCATTAAATAATATGACTATTTATTAAAAACCTTTGAGCATCAACACAAAGATTAATTAAAAACACACCTTAATTTATTGCAAACAACACACAAAACAAACCATACATAAAAGCATAATAATAAAAACAAGCATAATTCCAAAAAAACACCACACACAAAATAAAGCATAATTCCAAACAAAGCACTAATCTTGACTTCATCCATTGTGATTTCATCTCCCACAAGTGCTCGATCAAGTCAACATGACATCTCTCGTGAACATATGAAGATTGCATTTCTTGATAACGATCAATCATGGGATTGTTGAATTGACCATCCCGAAGTAACGGTTCGGGCTCCATTGGTAGTCCATTTGGTCCCATCGGCCTTTCATATATTCTTGTCAACGCCGTGTTCATGGGATCAGGTTCAAACACCTCTGGAGCATCGTAGTCATACTCATCCTCCACAATCATGTTGTGGAGGATGATGCAAGTCATTATAATACTCCGCAGCACCTCCTTATCTAGCATCCGAGCAGCACCTCTAATAATTGCCCAACGAGCTTGCAAGATACTGAAACACCTCTCCACGTCTTTCCTGCAACCTTCTTGAAAGAAAGCAAAGCTTCTTTCCTTCTCGGATTGGGGATTCAGAATTGTTTTCACGAATTTCGTCCACCTAGGATAAATTCCGTTGGCAAGGTAGTACGCACCAGAGTATACGGTATTGTTGATTTGGTACGTGCCCTGGGGGGAATGACCTCGCAATACCTCGTCGAACACAGGGGATTGACCAAGGACATTGAGGTCTGAGATCCGGCAACCCCGAAGAAGGCATGCCAAGCCCAATAGTCGAATGAAGCTACGGCCTCCAAAATTATACTTTTTTGGCCCTTCCGATTCCCGTACTCTCCTTGCCAAGCAGTAGGACAATTCTTCCATTGCCAGTGCATGCAATCGATGCTTCCAATCATTCCTGGGAAACCTCGATCCTCGCCTTGTTTTAGTAGCCTTTGCAGGTCCCTCAGCGTGGGTTTGCGAAGGTACTCCCTCGTGTACAAATTTTCCACTGCATCACAAAATCTCACCAAGCACTCTAGGATAGTAGATTTTTCCATCCTTGCAATCTCATCCACCTGCTCTGCAGATGCCCCATAAGTAAGCATCTGCAAAGCAGTTGTAAGTTTTTGCTCCGAGATAAGACCTAAAACTCCAACAGCATCATGCTTTTGAATGAAGTATGTGTCGTAATTACAAATATCATGCATGATTTTTTGGAACAAATGTGGCTGCATTCTATATCTCTCTCGAAACTTATATTCAGGAAATAACGAATTTGGGATAAAGTAATCCTCCAAGGGATTCTTACCTCGAGACTCCCTACATCTGTCCACATTCGGGGCACGACGCCGGTGTTGCCTTGATTGATTAAGCATACACACCGCTGCTGCAAGCATTTGTTCATCTTCTTCATCGGCGTCCCGATCTTCTTCAGCACGTCTACGCCGGATTTCTTCCCTTTTTTATGTTGCCTCTCCAACACCCTCCACAAGTTTGACATTAAGAGTAGAAAGTGTTTTATAAAATCTGAGAAATGAAGGAATATATAAGAGATGGTGTGAGAGGTATGAGTTGATGGTGTAGTTTTATAGAGATGACACGTGGCACAAATTTAGAGGGTGAAAATCTTATCTGAAATCTGAGATTTTAATTTTTTAAACATATCTGAAAATCTTATCTAACATGGGACACATGGAAAAATTTTATAGGGTGAAAATCTTATCTGAAATATGAGATTATAATTTTTTTTAAAAAAATATGAAAATCTTATCTGTGACACGTGGCACAAATTTAGAGGGTGAAAATCTTATCTGAAATCTGAGATTTTAATTTTTTAAACATATCTGAAAATCTTATCTAACATGGGACACATGGCAAAATTTTATAGGGTGAAAATCTTATCTGAAATCTGAGATTATAATTTTTTTAAAAAAATATGAAAATCTTATCTTACATGGGACACGTGACACAATTTTAGAGAGTGAAAATCTTATCTGAAATTTGAGATTATAATTTTTTTTAATGAATATCCGAAAATTTTATCTGGAATAAGACATGTGGCAACCGAGATTCTCATCCGAAAATCTTTTCTAAAAAATAATGGACACGTGACAACCAAAAATCTTATTCGAAAATTTAATTACAAAAGATTATTAAAATTAATGGTTTAAAGTATACATAATTTAACACATTTATTAACGGTTTGTGTAACGATGGGTCTTATTTAGATCTTTTCGAGGAGTTCATGTATCTAAGTGCAAGATTTTTAAGGTTGGTTACTAATTTGAAACAACGCCAAACAGTGGATAGTTTTATGTAGTTAACCAAAAGAAAAATACTAAACCATACTCATTTAATAAACAAGTTACAAGGCAGACATAGGCTTAGCAAAGCTGGTTGAAGGGGATGTGCTCGCACTCTGTACCTGAGTTTGAACTCCCCTCCTTGCAGTTTAGATTAGTTTGAAGTAGAATATCGTCTGTATTAAAAAGAAAACAAGTTACATGAGTGTTATCCTTTAAATAAATTAAACTGATGGGTTCAAATTGGACATTTTTAATATGAACTCAATACGGCTTGACTCATTGCGATTAAGGGCCACCTTTCAATATCTTAGATAAGCCTACTCAATAAGGCCATCTACAATCCATGAGGGCAAACCCAAAAAATCCTAAATTTTAGGCCAATTCATTTCCCAACCCACAAAAAAATAAGGGGCTAAAATTTGGGAAAACCCAAAATTGGGGTGGAATACCAATCCACTTACTGCCTAGATTGGAATTTTTTTTAATGAAGCCCACTCAACCATGATGCAACTCATGTGCAAGGATGAAACAATGGGCTCGCGATGCTGGTGCTGTAGAAGCTATCGCACCCAATCGCAACACTTTTTTTTATTTAAATTTTATTCAAACAATAATCCAAATCAATGATCCATATTAAATCCAATATATTTTAACGATAAAAAAAAAATCAAACAACTAAAATTTAAACTCAATGCTTAAAAATATATTTTAAATTAATCGAAATCATATCCAAATTCTATAAATACTCACTTATTTCTCAAATAAAATTATATTTATGGAATTTTAATTTTTAAAAGTCAAATTGTTCAAAAGAATTAAATTATGAAGTTATTTAAACATATTAAATGAAGAAAAGTTATTCATGAAAAAAATAATAATTAAACATTCTTAAACAATTTAATAAAGTTGCCAACTTAAAATTTGAGTCTGAAGGGTTTGGGAAAAAAACATTTTGATTCAGGCAAAATCTGAAGGGAGATTCACTATTATACCCAATATAGGAGCCCAAATTATAAAAATACCTTATATGAAATGGACTTTAGAAACATACCCAAAACCCATTTACAACATAACAAAAAGACTTTTAACTTCTTTTAAATTACAAAACTACCATTAATTTCTTAAAACAAACCCAACCCCAAAACCTCATAAAAAAGCCCAAAACACTCAATAGGGTATCAAAGTAATTTAATAATCAAAATTAAATTCAAAGGGCAAGCTGTCATTTTTTGGGTTTGTTTATAGAAATTAGATGGTGTAGGGTTTATTTAGGGCTTGTTTGGTACAGGGGACTGTCATGGATTGGACTAAATATTGGTACTGTCTTGGATTGGCTTGGCTTGGCATAAACTGGATAACACTTGTACAGCGTTTGGTATATATTTGATTGGACTAGGATTTTTTTTTTTTTTTTTGAAAAGTAAGATTTTTTTAATATTTTTTGACTTTTCTTCTCTCTCCATCTCTTTCTTCCTCTCTGCATCTCCTTTTTTCGTTTTTGGACGAACCAATCTGCTGCTTTTTCTTCTTCTTCCCTTCTACATCTCTTTCATCTTCTTTTTTTCCATTTTCTCTCCTCTTCTTCTGTCTACTTTTCTTTTCTTTTCTTTCTTTTTTGCTAAAATTTTATCTCCTCTTCTTTGTTTTTTTTTTCTAAAATTTTCTCTCCTCTTCTTCTCCATTTTCTTTTCTCTTCTTCTCCATTTTCTTTTCTCTTCTTCTCCATTTTCTTTCTTCTTCTTTGTTTTTTTCGAAAAATTTCTCTCATCTCTTCTTCTACAGTTTCTCTCCTCTTCTCTGTTTTGTTTTTCGAAAATTTTATGTTCTCTCCTCTTCCTCTTCAATTATGTCTTCTCCATCTTGGGTGGCTGTGGCTGGTGGCTATGGCTGATGATCGTGGCTGGTGGTCGTGTCTGGTGGTTGTGGATGGTGGTTGTGGCTGTCGCTTGGTGGGTCGATGGTTGTGGAGCGATTGGGCGTGGTTGCTCGTTGCTTAATTGGGTAGGGACTGTTAGTCCCTCCTCTCCAGACGGGTTTAGCTAAGAACACCTAAGAAGGTGTTTTTGGTTGGCCTAGTATTAGTTAACCCCACTTAAAATTAGAACCGGGTGAAACAAACATGGGATAAAATTTTAGCCAAGCCAGTCCAAGTTTGCATGGTGTACCAAACGAGCCCTTATAGTTTTAGTACTAGGAATGGATATATGACTAAGGCCCAGTTTGGGATTGCTGTCACTTTTAAAAAAAGTTGTTTCTAATGTGCTTTGAAAATAATTAGCTGTAAAGTAAAGCAACTCCATGTTTGGTAAACAATATTTTTAAAGTGCTGTTAGTACAAAAAGCAGTATAAAAAACGTTGGTAAATTTTAATATAAAATTATTGTAACTGTGAATAATGACTAAAATAGACATGATGTTAAAAGTGTTATGTACTAATCATGTGGTGGTAGTTGTAGTGATGGAGTGGAGGTGGTGGTGGTGGAGGTGGAGGTGAAGGAGGAGGAGGTGGTGGAGGTGGTGGAGGAGGTGGAGGAGGTGGTGGTGGTGGAGGTGGAGGTGAAGGAGGAGGAGGTGGTGGAGGTGGTGGAGGAGGTGGAGGAGGTGGTGGTGGTGGAGGTGGAGGTGAAGGAGGAGGAGGTGGTGGAGGTGGTGGAGGAGGTGGAGGAGGTGGTGGTGGTGGAGGTGGAGGTGAAGGAGGAGGAGGTGGTGGAGGTGGTGGAGGAGGTGGAGGAGGTGGTGGTGGTGGTGGCGGTGGTTGTGGAGGTAGTGAATGTGGTGGTGCAAGTGGTGGAGTTGGATGTGGAAGGGGAGGGGGGGTCATTTTGTAAAATGAAAGATGGTATTTTGAGAATTTAAAAAATTCATTAAATGTTCATCTCTGCTTTTTTTGAAAGTAGCTTTGAAAAGCAACCCAGAACATGCTTTTAAAAGCTGTTGTCAGAAGGCCATTGCTTTTAAAAGAATCGGGATATTTTCTTTTTACCAATCACGCTTAAACAGCTTAACTTTAAAGTGAAGTAGGTTTTTGGGTTGGAAAAGGCCTAATCCATCGCTACTGCTATCTGGGCCCCTCCATATTTTCACACCGAGCCCATTATCGCACCACGATCTTCCTTCGTCGAAATCCCTAGGTTCCTTCGTTGTCGTTTTTTCCAGTTGAACCAGACCGACCTGCCCTCCCATCGCTTCTTCGTTGTCGTTGTGAAAAACGGGTACGCTAAGGTACTATAAGGTTGACGTTGAACTCAACTCACAGTGTGTCTGTAGGGTTTTGCAAGCTCTATGAGCATGTCTCTCCCACCCGTAGAGCGTGCATACGTTAGAGAGGACTGCGTTCGTGAATGGAAGAATGGAACCTCTAATTTCAAGCTCGCAGACCCCGTTCCCATGCTTCGATTCCTCTACGAGCTCTGCTCCACCATGGTCAGCTCAAGATGCCCCCTTTTGTCTTTCAATATGATTTTTAAGCAATTGTTAAGGGTTTTGGATTGAATTTTGTGTGTTTGGTTGTTAGGTTTCTGGGGAATTGCCATTGCAGAAGTGTAAAGCAGCGTTGGATTCAGTTGAGTTTTCCGATAAGGTTTCGGACGAAGAGTTGGCTTCCAGTTTTGCGGATATTGTCACCCAATTGTCTCAAGATGTGAGTTTTTTATTATTTGCTTGAAGTGTGTTAGTTTTTCTTTTAAACAGTGGAATTCGATGAAGAACTTTGGATCTTGAACAATTATAGTTTAAATCCTTAGGGAACTGAATCCTAATATAAAGGGAGCCTACCGCTCTATGTAATATCGATGGGATTAATTTAGGGGTGAGTGTTTGTGAATAGCAGGAACAAACATGCCATAAAACCACTACACTTGAAATTATTTTTTGTATTTGATTGTCCTAACAACGTGTGGTGC